GGCCGCCGCCGGCCGCGGCGACGAGAGCCGGCGGCGACAGCAGCAGCGGCCGCGCCGGGCAGCGAGGCCCCGCGGCCGGCCGCCGGGTGGCCCAGGCCCGTGGCCGTTCAGCAGGGCGGCCCGCCCGCCTCCTCTGGCCGGCCCCAGCTGAGCCATCGTCCCGCCCTCGCCTCCGCCTCAGCCGCCACCGGACCGGAGCATAACCCGACCCCCGGCTGCGCGCGGGGCCCCCACTGTCCGCGGCCGAGCTGGCGGCGCCGCCCGCCCGCCGTCGCCGCTAAACATAGACAGGGACGCGCGCGGAACGCCCGACGCGTACCGCCACCGTCGGAGGCCGCCGCGCACCTATCGCCGCGTATGCGCGCCACGAACGAGACCCACCGCCCGGTAGCGTTCACCGAGGCGCCCTGCGGGGGACCCACTGCCGGGTATGCGTGCCCACCGATGCGGCAGCGGGGGACCCGCTGCCGGATATGCGGGCCACGAACGGGACCCATCCGCCCGGTAGGCGTGCCAACCGATGCGGCCTGCGGGGGACCCACTGGCCGGGTATGCGTGCCACGAACGAGGCAGTGGAGCGAACACCGCCCGCAGGCTAGGCGTACCACCGACGGAACTGTGGACGGTCCAATGTCGGGTATATGTAACACGAAACAAGACTGAGGTCTAGAGGATGCCAAGCCCCAACGGCGATCCTATGGCCAACTGGCCACCTTGAAAGCAGACCCTATGAACGAAGATTATGCGACGATGCCCTCGCGCAAAGGAACAGACGTGTTCAAGCCGTCCCCGCCAGAATAAACGACTTGCTGGCAGAGAAAAAACTGCGGCTGACGAAGAAGCCCTATAAAAGTCATTGCACCGACACTCGGTTGACACTAGAAGTTCACTATCTGACCGACACATTACGTTTCAACAAGGTCTATTTGCCAGGAAAACATTGCGCCTGTTTGAAGATACGCGCGATAGGATAACAACATCAATGAACACACAGGATAAAAAAGTCGACGAACTGGTCAGCTAAGCAAAACATTTACTTCAGGATTGCTTGCAGTACCTTATACCAGGACATCACCAGCTGGTTTACGGATGCTTTTCTAAGCCGTGCATACTGCACAACCAAATATGGTCTGTCATCACTTTACTGAAACCATTGTGGAACAGGACTCACGATGAAGCAACCGGCTATGATCGCAACCAACCTCTCACACACACCAAACAATGAAGCGTGCGATGTCGCGTAAGAAAACACCTTAGCTGAGCTGCAGAGCAAAACTGAACGCCAGGTTCACGCAGCCCCACGCAACCAGCCCATATTCCATCTGACGCATGAGCCGGACAGCAGGACATCGGACCAGTTTTAGGCCGTGTCTCCTCCCTGGCGCGCGTGGCGACGGAAAGCACCACACCCTGCTCGGTCCAGAAAACGGAGCCGGCGTACGCGGACGGCCGCTGGCATCGGACCAGCGGGGCCGGCAGCGGCCAGCCTGCCGCCTGGAACGCCCCGCCGAACGCAGTGCGAACACGAACGGACGTGGCCCAGGCTCCCGAGAGAGCCGGCTGGCGGGCAGCTCATGGCCACGTGCACTGGAGAAACGCGCCACGAAATCCCGCCCACTCTTCCCTTTTGGTAACAAGGCTCAGAGCTTAATGCTTGTGCATCCTGAACAACTGAAGCTTCAGCAGAGTCAGTTCTCGGTCTTCTATTTCCGTTCGTCTGCACAGCCTCTCCGTCATTTCCCGCATGCGCCCTCGCCTGTCCCTCTCCCCCCTCCCCGGTACACCCCTCCATTACGGTAGCAATCGTGTGCTTTACCATAAAACAACAGCCACGTTCCTAGTCCTCGCGCGATGGTCACATACGAGGAGGGGAAAAAACTGGAGAAACGCTACTAGCGCTACTATAAATAGTGAACACCACGCCACGCCACCATAACATTTTCAATCTATGGCTCTTCATCACTGGGGCATTTATTAACAGACCGGCACCTCCGACACTCAATCTATCTTCCCACGCCACTATCGTAAATAAAGCACTATCAACACCTAAATTAATTTTTCTCTTCTGGTGGCCAACCGACGGCGTACGCAATGGATGAATGCCAGACCAAATGCAAACTCTTGAGTGAGCCGCAGGCGCGTAAAATTTCTGACATACCGTAAAACGACATGGGGTGTGCTCGACCTGTAAGTTTAGTACGCGTGCCCCGAATTTATCATTGCCAAAATTGGTCTACGCACATCTTAATAATGTAAGAAACTGTATCAGGAGCGGGCACGTGCCCCGCGGGCCACCACGTGAATAATATGTGCACCCGTGGTCTGCTTCATCTCCACCCCCGCTCCCGGCGGGCACCGAGGGCCACCTCCTCCTTCGCTGTCCGCCCGCCCGCTCGCCAGCCAGCTGGCAGGGCCGTGCCGCTCCGGCCGGCCCCACATTCCCCACCTCTGTCTGGGCAGCCCCACCCCCACACTGCCCGCCTGTCCGCCCCCTCCCCACACCCTCCCAGTTCTGTCGAGGCAGCCGCTTCTACGGGACTGTCGGCGCCGCCTCCTCTCCGCGCTCTTCCACCGTCGCCCCTATCGTGACCGCCCCACCAAACACTGCTGGGGCTGCCCTCCCTCCGTCTCTACAACCCCCCCCCCCCCCCCTTCCCGCCTCCGTCAGCGCCACCCCACCCCCACAACCTGCTGGGGCTGCCCTACCTCAGTCTCTGTCCCCTCTTCCAGCCTCTGTTGGGCCACCCCACCCCCACACCTGCTGGGGCTGTCACCCCACCCCAAGACCTACTGGGGTTGCCCTCACACCGTCCCTGTCCCTCCCTCTCCGCCTCTGTTGGGGCCATCCCACCCCCACACCTGCTGGGGCTGCCCCCTCCGTCTCTGTCGTCCTATTCCCCTCCCCCGCCTCTGTCGGGGGCCGGCCCGCCGCAGTCGGCCGCGCCGGCAGTGGACTGACGGGCCAGCTGCACCGCAGCCCGCCCCCAATGTACCGGATGCACTGCACGAGGAGGGCTGTGCAAACGAGCTCCAACATTTCTCCCGGTTGCAGGATGCAACGCGCCGAAAGAAACGGACAGGCGCCATCTTCGAAATGCTGTCAAAGTTTGACTAGCTTCCAGGTAATGCGGAGCAGCGAACTAACGCCGGTTCGGGTTCAAGCTTCTGGCCTGCGTTCTTTTCTGCAGCAGACTTCTCCGAGCGCATGAGTCTGCTCCTCGCTGGGAGGCCAGCTCCCGTCCCGCCCCAGACGCAGAGTGTGGCTCGCGCCGCGGCCATCGTCGCGCCAGCACCACACATCCTCATCACATAACGAGCACCGACTGCAACACACAGCTACTTCCAATCTCCATGCTAACGTACGGCCAGCAACCCCACGCTTCTTTTCGGGGGAAGGGCCCCTCTGCCAGCCTTCGTGCGTAATCAGTGTATCGATGAGCTATGCAGGTTCGCGCAGGCGCACAGCCGGCGGGACAGCCTCCTTCCAACAGGCCGCTGGCCGCCTGAGAACGCCGACAACACTGAGCGAGTGCGGCGGCTCATCGAGAACATCCCGGCACGATGCTCCCGCGCGGCGGCACGCTCTTACATCATCGGGGCTTTCGTGCGGTTAATAGAGAAACTCAATGCCGGGACAGGTCAGCTGACGGGAACATGCTGTGAGCGAACTGCACACTAATGCTCACCTTGCTTTCAAGCTTGTCGTTTTCATGCTTGTAGACGGTGTTGCCCTTCTCCAACTTTTCGACCTTCTCTCGTAGCGCCAGCAGCTCCTCCTGTAGAAACCGCGATCATTTGATCATTGCGTGCGCCTGAGCCAGACACCTCATGTGCAACGACGCGCAATGAACACATAAAACAGCTACCTCACTTGCATGGCAAATGATCGAAGGAGAGCAAACAAAGTTACAAGTGAGAAGGGAGGGAGAAGGGGCGCGGGACAGTTTGTTTTCAGCCTTTGGCATGCAACTCCATACGGTTAAAGTCACATTTTGGCGAAACTGGGTAGGGCGTTGTCCTGTACCCGCCACCCAGACCCTATACTACTGCAGCCAGAACTTTCCATCGCTTCATTCATTCCAAACTTTCCATCGCTCCCAAAAAAGCGTGCGGCACCCATTTCATCTCTTAATTAAGCACACATGTATGGTGAAGTCAGACAAGCAAACACTCAGCCAAAACGTGTCAAAGTACCGCATAGTCTCTATCCTGCACATACAACACGCCCAACGGCTGAATACTTGGACTGAGAAGGGACCGGGACAGGTCTGAATCAAATGGCAGGCTAGCAGCCGGCTGACCGTGCCTCAGAAGCCACCGGGGCCTGACTTCCGTGCTGTGCTCCAATGAGACCTTTTGAACGTGTGCAGCGACCTCGAGGCTCTCACTGTTGCGAAAGCCATAGCACAAGTGTTTTTAATTTACAAATCTGGGGTCATTTGCTAAATGTGCTGTCGGCGAGACCGTGAAGTACAGCGGACAGTGACATTGGCCGTAAAGTGGGCTAGGTTATGGGCAGTGGCCAATGTTTCCTCCATGTTGGCATTTATAAGTCTGAAAACACACTGGTGACGATGTGTTGCTCTTTTTGTCGTGTATTGGTGTTTTCGAGCGCGCCGGCTGCAGTGATCATTTGGCGCCTAGATGTGCTGCTTTTTAATAAAAAGCAAGATGGCTGTTAGATGGGCCTGTTCTTGTTGTGAGCTGCGTTAACATTCATTTTACAAAATGGTTGAAAGAGAGTGCTGCAGCTTAACATTCATTATGGGAACTTCCCTAAATTTCGCTTTGGTTGCTACGTGACGCTGGCGAGGAAGTCACCACCGCACTCGGCGATTAAAGCGCCACCTATACCGCACGCCACAACCCTGCGCTGCCACCTACCGTTGCGGCTTGCAGCTGCTGTTCGGTGCGGTGCACGTCGAGCAGCGGCGTGACGCGTACTAGCAGGCGCCACCAGGGCCAGCTGCGCACGCCCACGTACTTGCGCACATTCTTTGGATACAGCGGATGGCCAGGTCCTGAACCTGCCGGTGCCAGACGGTGACGCGTCAAAACAGTACGGATGCCAAACACTGCGAACAATTGTACGGTGGTGCGGCAAAGGGCAAGTGCGGATGGTGCGGTAAAACAAGCGAGAGCGGACAGCGACTCAACGTGCTGGAGACGGTCAATACTACTTCTCCAGCGAGACAAACATTTGCTTACATTGCAAAGTCATCGAATGATAGTCGCCAAAGACCCAGTCGTTGATCCCGCGGCGAGCGGCTGCCTACGCTCGGGAGTAAAACCTAAGATAATTGAATGCCTTGTCATTAACTGCCGGAAAACACAGCCGCAAATGTACTCCAGAGCGGGCCGTCCATTACATGCAAAAATCCTTCACACGGCATGCCCCACCAACTCGAACACACACATTTCATCCCTGAAAGCCAATAACGTTCCCACCATCAACAACCAGCACCCCGTATTTAGGAAGCGCGTGGAAATCCCCTCCCAAAGAGCGTCACGGTGCGCGCGCGCCGCGTGCGGCCGTCTGTCACAGCAGAAGCCGTCAGACACGTCCGTGATAACAGGCCAACAGGTAATTGAGGCGAGCGCGGCAAACGGCGCGAGCGGCCAGCCGGCAAGCGGTCCCGCCGTGTCCGGAGCACAGCGGCAGCCTTCTCTCAGCCGACACGCACCCGCCGGACCAACCGCGGTCTCGCCGGGCCTGCAGCGCCGAGACGCCGCTTGCTCGGTCAGACCCACCCTCCTGCGGGCGACGCCGGCCGGCAGCAGGCGCAGCGCCCGCTCCCGGCCGGCCTGCGGTCCCAGCCGCGGGCCGGGCGGTACGGCTAGCCGTGCCGGCCTCGGGGGCTCGGCGCGCGCCCGTCCGCCGCCGCACAGCGACAGGCAACAGGCCGCCAGCAGGCGACCGACACACCGCCGGCACTGGGAGGCGCGGCTCCTTGCCATGCGGACACGACACTGACGCCCGATACGGTAACTTAAGCCCGGATCGCGCCGGGTCGTGACGCTGGACCGGAGCCAGAAAAGGAATGTCACCGAGCGCGCCGCACCGTTCGGTCAGTAAGTCAGCGGCGCCGAACAGGAAGGTTGCTGATGAATGCCCTTCGACGACACCCTTCGACAGACTTATAGAGTGCGGAAATCGGTTTCGTGAAACGGTTGAGGGATCACCGACGGCCCCGAATCACCTAGGCAAAGTCGTTGTATCATAAATTGCTTCCATGTTCGCTCATGTATCAGTAGACATCACTACATTTCTACTGCACATTCTCAGACTTTGAAAGTGTACGAGCGCACTTCAGAGAGTAAATCTACCCCAAAGCATACACTACCGGCGTGCAACCCCTACCCCCATCAATCTCTGACCCAGACATGCGCCATCCCGGTGACCCGCGACGGCCCCGCTGCCCGGAGGAGCCGTCGCCCGCGGCTGGCGGCACGCGCCGTGCCGACGCGGCCCGGGTCAACGACAGCTCCATCAGCGGCGGCCATCGCACGGCGGCTGGGACCGCTAACGAGCCGGCGGCCGGCCAGAATGGCGCCGGCGGGCGGGCCGTGGGAGCGCCGCTCGGCCGCCGGCGGCGCGGCCCGAGAGAGGGACGGCGTCGACCGACCGACGGCCGCGACGGCCCGATCGGCGCGCTGCGCGGGACCGGGGAGCCCAAACACGGCGACACGACGGCAGAGCGTGATCCGGCGGCGCGCCGACCGCGCGTCGACCCCCATCTCGCACGGACACTGGACCAGTGGACGGTAGATGTGGCGACGGACAGTCCCGGAGGTCCTGTCGGCCGTATCTGACACGCGAAGCGCGCCCGAGACGGATAGGCGAGTACGCGGAACACCGCTGTCGCTTGTCCATCTACAGGTGCAGCGAGTGCAGCCGTCACGCCGCGTGCTTGCGGTGACCTAGACACAGTTCACAGCAGCTATCACAGAACCCATCCCACCTGCAGCAGCACGACGGAAAGCGCGCCGCTCTATGAGCGGCGTGCCAGAAAAAAAAACATTTCGCCGTACGCAGAATTCACTGATGGATTACTGGGCCGTCATAGTGCCAGCTAAAGTCGATGACAATCTGCATGGAATCCAGGCACAGCTGCAGCACAGCTGACCACGAACGGCGCACTAATCACTCGACTGAGCGCAGTCAGAACACTTCAGCAACTGTGACATCTACGCTATCAATTATCGCAATCCCTGACAAACGACGGACATTGCCCGTCCGACACCGCAAGCAGTGACCTCGTGACCACAAAAGCTGCCGCCGGCCGGCCGGAGCACCACCGGCCAGCCTTATCGCGTCCACCCTTTGTGACCATCGCTTCCCCGATACAGCTGCGGCCGCGCAGCCGGCCGCGCCTCGCCGCCGCATTCCCGCCGCGTATTTCCGCCGACGCGGCACGCCGACCACGCGACATTACCTTGAGCCGGGCGAACTGCCTGCGCGCCAGCAGGCCGCGGCAGCACGCCTGCAGGCGCACCACCTTGTCCTGGAGCCGCTCGTCGCGCTGCTCCTCCAGCCGCGTCAGCGCCCCCGAGCGGAAGAAGATCTGTCGGCAGGGCGGACGCGGCGTCACACACCGGGCCGGCCTGCGGCGTGCGTCGGTCACACAGCCGGAGCGGAAGGAGATCAGGCGGAAACGGGACGGGCTGGGTCGCACGCTCGGGACGGATGGCGGGCGCACGGCGCACAGGTCACGCGCGCACCGGAAGGAAAGAGGCAGAGAGCGGGTCGGCGGCGCGGTCACACGCAGGAGGGAAGCGCCGCCGAAGCGGGTCGGCGCTGCTCACACGGGAATGACCGGGCACGCGACACGACTGAGCACGGGTCCCAGGCTAGCCGCGACTGAACGCGCGCGCGCGCGCGCGCAAACGCCACGGCACAGACACACACAACGGCAGTAAAAACACTATCACCCCTCATCTCACCCATCTGTATGTAATCACATCGTACTCGACATCGTACACGTCGTATTCTGCAGCGCACTCGGCCCAGACGTCACGCTGCACTTAAATCAAACGACATGACCGGATTCTTTCCCAGAGATTTAGTTGAGATCTGACATCTTACCTTGCATACGCTGTTAAAAACTCCGACCTCAGCTTATCCGCACATCAATTCAAGTTCACCACACATACTTGCCGTAGCATTTTAACGCGTCACAGATCGTCCTGACACGATCGCCCATGTCAGCCTCTCCTCTCGTCGGAGACTAGCCGCTGACCGTCACAGCAGATAGACGCGGTTTTTGGCAAGTGATGCTGTTCTGAGAACGCGTGCTGCCACACGTGCCCTTACGACCGGCGCCCTATGCATTGATCCACCACGACACTCGTGAAACGGTCGCTAGTTGGTCGGGGAGGAGTCTAACCGAGTGTCGCTGAGAGCACAAGCTTGGGCCGGGAGACATTCGCTGACGTCACTGGTTCGACGTCGCGCCTGCAGCCTCGTGGCACACCGTGCCACCCACACGTTACGAGCTGGCGGCTCGAGCTTCGAGAGCAGCTAAACGATGAAGGTACTTTGCGCTCTAGGCTGTAGCGAAAGGACAGTCCGACAGCCAAGCAGGCTACCACAGGTGACCAGTGACGTGGTCATCGGTCACTGAGTTGGAAAAAACAGTGATGCTGTGGTAATAATCAATTTGGGTCATCGTCTAGCTCAGATTATTCGGCGCTTTGATCAGTTAAAAATGCTCGCCAAGGTCCCCGATTTACGGCACATTAGAGCGGGACATTATCTTCGAATATCTTGTAATGACTAAAAATTATTCTTACGTAAGCAAAACCATACGTGATTGACATTTCGCCATTAATTAAAGCCGGCTGATGTCACATAACGCTTCATTAGACATGGTCAGTTGGCCACAACTTCCAGCGACTTTAAGCATAAGCCGTGGGTGACCTTCGAGAGGCAGCATTAGGGACACGCAGCGCCAAAGAACTCATTCCCTTTCCACAGCAACCACACAAAAGGACTATCAACGGCCGCCAGCGCACGAACAAGCGGGCGCACGGAAAATGCCGAGACACGAGAAGGAAAGCCGTGACGCGGTGTCAGCATACCGCCACGAACAGTCTCCAGACGCAGCGCGGCCGCCTCGGCAGCCCGTGACAAGGTCTGGCCAGCTGTCGCGGCGGGCCCACGGCCGCCGCCAGCCGGTCTCCCACGGAACCCAACCGAGTGTGTCGCGTGCGAGGCCCGGCTCCGGCCGCCGGCGGGCGCGCGCACACACACCCGGTCGCCGCGGCCCGGGCACACAGTGGGGCTCAGCGCCTCCGAGCGCCGCTCCACCCTCCACGGCTGGAGGTCAGGCGCAGCCGCCGACCGCCGACCACGGACAGACAACCTCGGACGCCGGCCGGGGCCGCTTGCCGCGGCCCTGGCCGGACAGCGTGCACATTCAGATCACTGACGAACGGCGGGCAAAGGACAAGCGCTGCCCCACCCCGGCCGACATCCCACACCCGATGGGGGTCGTCCCCAGCGCGGCCGCAGCACAAGGACAGCAGTCTCGGACATTCGCACCATCCAACAGTTCTCCCACGGGAGTGCGTGGGACTTCCCGTCCGCCCCGACACCACCCACTGCGGGAGGGCTGCCGATGACGCGGCGGTCAATGGAGCGTGAAAAGACTACTCACTGCCGCTGACCACCCTCCGCCGACGGCGAGCGAGGAGTGCGCGGTCAGAGAAGCGCACCGCTCCGCGCCACACGCACGCGTCACGGCGCAGACCGACGCGGGGGCGACAGCCGGCCGGCCGGGACAGTCACTGAAGAGCGGGCCCGTAGCGGGGACGGTCGCGCGCCGGCCGGCCGGACGCCATCCATCAGCGGCGCCGGCCCGGCGACCTCTCCGCCGACGCACCGCCAAACAGGAAGGGCTGATGACTGCCGGGCCGACCTCCTGCCCCGGCCCGGTCCACTGACCCGGGCGGAGCCTCCCACGCCGCCCCGCCGCCGCCGCCGGCGACTGCGGAGGCCCGGCACGGCGGCTCATCACGCCAACAGATACGTCCGTGCTCTACGCCGCTTGCAGAGGTCCCCGGCCCGTTAAGTGTGACCCGCTGCGCAGTGCAACAGCAATGATCGGGCGGACACGCCAGGCGGTGGTGATCATCCCTGACATGACCGCTACTCAGACAGCACGGGCAGGCGCGGCGCTGCAGCTCACGGCCAGCCCGCCGGCAGCAGGTGTGTGTCTGTGCGTGGGGTCACACACGGCAGGACGGCGCTGACAACTCTGCGCGACCATCACGGAACTCGGCCGCACTCCTTCACTCATCGTGAAGCCTCGATCCACAGCCAGGCGATCCGAGTCCCGGGAGCCCGTCCCCGCCGCTCGATCTGCACCCGCAGAAGACATACCACCTCCCGGCAGAAGAGCCGGCCGGGAGCAGGGCCGCCAGCGGCGTCCCCGGCGGACGATGACGCGGCCCGACCGGCGCTAACCCGGGCTGACCCGGGCCACCGGCCGCGGCGGCGGGCGGGCCAGGGGCGGCCCGGCGGGTGAGCGACGGCGCCGTCGATCACCCACCCGCGCATTCCCGGGCCGGTCGCAAACAATGGTCCGCCACCGGTCAGGAACGCCCGGCGGCCCGCGGTCCGCCCGCAGAGTGGGTCATCTATTCACGGCCGCCGTACACGCCAGTCATCCCGACACCGGTGACCCCCGCCGCGAGCCTCAATGGCTCTGCAGCACGCGGGCGGCACGTGTCCGCCCTGCACACGCAGTCACGCGGCTGCAGGAGCTCGTGTCACATGCCTGGCCGCCGTGTGACGGGACCCCCCTCCCATCGGGCCGTGTTCCTGGCGAGCGGGCACGGTGTCCCGCCGGGGGCCCGTCGAGTCCGAGGGCCCCCGTGCCGGGCGAACTGGGCCAGCGGCGGCCGGGTGGTCCGCTAACGGTGCGCGGGCGCGGGATGCGGCGGCGCTGCTGACCCGAGCTGACCGCGGGTCACGCCGCCGCACGATCCGTGTCAAACACATGCGGCGCCCGACCCGGCGCGGCCCAGTCGCCGCCAACCGCTGCACGATGGCGCCAGGCGGCCGCCGGCGCCGGCGTGACGGCGGCGGCCGCGGCAGAGGACCGCGCTCTCGCGATGCGCCGTCCGCGCGCGTGGGAGCCCGCAGAGGCCATACCGGATGCAGGATCGGCCGAACGGAAGCCCCGCTGTCGGCGCGATCGAGCTTCATTGTCTCTCGAGCCCGCGATATGCCGATGTGACACGCTGGGACCATCTCCGTCTTGTCTCTCGAGCCCGCGATATGCCGATGTGACATGCTGGGACCATCTCTGTCTTACAAGTCTGAGCGGGACGTCATCCACAGCACGCGACGGCGCGGCGGTGACCTCCGCACTCCTTCATATGGATCGGAATGTTTTTATCGACGCCCAAGGCCAGTGGATTTCGACGCGTAAAAACGGCGAAGCAGAGACCGCGACCACAGGCAAGATAAAGTAAGGTTCCTTGGGTCACTGGCCTACAAACGTCCGAGACACGCGCGGAACATCAGGTAACGCTTCATCAAGCACCGTGTAATTGATAATCAATGTTCATTGGTTCCAACCAAATATGTCGATTTGGAAACGCCCCAAGATCTCACAGCTGCCCATCGGGAGCATTAAAAGTGGCGAGATTACAACGTATAAAACCAAACGCGCTCACACTTCGAAACGCCACCTCATGTCAGGACTTGTGGTAACAATCACAGAAATTCGATCACCACCCGAGACATCGTTCCCCGGCCAACCGACCCGCCTCTCCTGCCTGTCGGTTCGCCCACTGCCCTTCCATACCAGACGCGCCTCAAACATCTGAGGCCATGACTGCGGCCGCACGTCCTGCAGCGCCGAGCCCCGGCGCGGCGGGAGCGCGCGGCACGCGGCCGTGTCATCACGACACGGGCCGTGGCGCTGACCGGGCCGTGATCGCCGGGATCGGGCCGCGGCCGGTAGCGGTACAAACTGGCCGGGCCGGTCAACAGCGGCGCGGTCACCGTCCGGCCGGCCGCGAGGCACCGGCGCCGCCGTTCATCGGCATGCCGGCGGCGAGCCTGCACGCCGCCGCGACAGGCACGCGCGCGCCATGGGCCGCCAGAGCACGCGTCGCCGCGGCCGGCCGTGCGTCCGGAGCCGTCAGGGTTCTCACAGCTCCCAGCGGCGGGAGCTATCGTGAGCAGGTCACGGCTGTGTGCCTTACCTGTGATGAGAGTCGACACGAGTAAAGCCAATATTGCTGTGTCCGGATAGGCCAGAGGAGGCAGATTCTTTGCAAGTGGAACATAACCCGTCTGACATCAGGCCACCAGCGGAGTGCCACCTGAGGAGCATCGCTCCTACCAACCTCGCAGCAATGCAACACCAGACTGCGTCCCGGTACCGACCACACACCGCTGGGACGCCTCTGGCAGTGGCTGATTGGACGGACAGCTGTCGACGGCAGACGAGGAAGTGGACACATCCGGCGCCTATCCCGTCCGGCGGGGCCGGGCGGACCTCCGTCCCGCGACGGGCCGCCTGCCGCCCGTGCACTCGCCTGCAGCAGC